GCTGAGAAAAATTATTCTCAGTTAGATAGGGAAGGCTTAGGCATCATTTTTGGTGTTAAGAAATTTCACAAGTTTCTGTTTGGTAGGGAGTTCACCATCTTTACAGATCATAAGCCATTGCTGGATTTGTTTGGGGAAAACAAACCCCTGCCTGAGCATGCCTCACCAAGGGTTCAAAGGTGGGCTATCACACTAGCCGCATATGAATTGAAATACAAACCTGGATCTGAGAATAGTGCAGATAGTCTTAGTCGTTTACCTTTAAAAAACCAAAGCCTTAGTTATGTACCAGAGGATGTATTTGTTCTTTTCACTATCATGGATAACTCCAATATAAATGTGAATGATGTTAAGAGAGAAACACAAAAAGATGAGTGCTTGATAAAAGTATATGAGTACTGCAAGAATGGTTGGCCTGAAGAGTCAGTGAATGATAATTTAAGGCCATATAAAATAAGAAAATTAGAGTTAAGTCTAGAAGATGGATGTGTGCTATGGGGGTCAACGGTTATTATCCCTAAAATGTTACAAAAAGAAGTTTTAAGAACCTTACATGATACTCATCTTGGTTCTTCCAAAATGAAGAGTCTTGCACGATCGTGGTTCTGGTGGCCACATATGGATGCTGATATTGAAAAATATGTAAAGCTTTGTTCAAGCTGTGCACAGCATTCAAATCAACCAGCTACAGCACCTTTGCAAAACTGGGAGTGGCCAATCGAACCATGGAAACGTATCCATATAGATTTCGCAGGACCCTTCATGAACAAAATGTTCTTAATTGTTATTGATTCACATTCTAAGTGGTTAGAAGTTAAAATCATGAACACAATCACTGCAAGTGATACCATTATAGAACTTAAGGAAATATTTTCAACTCATGGGTTACCTGATTAAATTGTTTCAGATAATGGGCCTAGTTTCACTGCTCATAAGTTTAAACTGTTTTGTGTAGCAAATGGTATTGAGCAAATAACCACATCACCCTATCATCCTGCTGGGAATGGTTTGGCTGAAAGAGCGGTAGGCATATTCAAAACCGCTATGGTAAAAATGAGTACCGGTAACAAATTTTCTCTCAGGGAAAGAGTAAACAGGTTCTTAGCCAAATACCGCACAACTCCACATATAACAACAGGTATTGCACCATGCGAATTGCTGTGTGGTAGGAAAATTAAAACTCACCTTGAAATACTACATCCAACTGTTCAAAGGTCTGTTTCCCAACATCAACATACACAAAAATTAAAAAGCATGACAAAACATCCATTGAGAGAGAATTTGGGGTTAATGATAATGTGTATCTGAGAAATTATGGGAGAGGGGGAAAATGGATGCCAGGTCAAATTGTTCAATGTACAGGACCTGTGTCTTATAAAGTAAAAATAAATAATGGACTTATTGTCCGTACACATGCAGACCAGTTAAAAATAACTTGTGCAGATAGTAAGTGTGAATCTGTCAATCCCACCAGATCTGACTAGTTCACACCAACTCAGTTTGTTCCACAACCAAGGTCTGTTGATATGAGTGAACCAAGTATTCTAGAGTCAGAAAATGTAAATTCTGGAATTAATGATTTAGATCCTGGACTTCCTGAGCTAGAGAGTCCAGATGGTCAGAATCTTGAGTCACCAAATCAACAGCCACTGAGAAGGTCAAACAGGACAATCAAAGTCCCAGATAAGTTAGACCTGTGATTTTAAAGGTTAAGAGGACTTTGACATAATTGTTTTGTTTTGTATTTTAATTATGTTTGTAGCATATTTTGCATTTGTTTGTAAGGATTTAATCTACCAAATGATTCAAGTCATGTAATGTTTTGTATTGACTTTTAGAGTGTTGTTAATTGAAAGCTACTATCATTCATTCTCTTGAGAGCTATGTTATTATTTACTAAGGGTAAAGGGATGTAATATATTGAGCTTTGTGAATTCAAGGGAACTCACTCTTCTTGTATTAGTCTTATAATGTTTTGAGTGATGTACCTTGCATGTTGTGTTTCCGGTTGTCGATTCAGAATAAACAAGGCATGTCTATAAGATGGCTTCTTCGTCAGTTGTATTCTAACAATAATATCAATCTTTCACAAAGCTGATTAAAATTTAGTGAAAATATTATATGTGAGGCAAGTGGCTAGAGTGCATAGGTTCCCAAACTGTGGGTCGCGACCCCCATTCAAACACCATCATTAGCTTAACCAAAAGCTTCAGGGAAAATGCCCCGCGATTATCACGAAAAGAGATAAAATTAGTTCATTTTACAAGAATCTTCAGGTTACCAAGAATAATTCATATTGAAAGACTACTAGAAAATCTTATATTAGTTCTTATTAATTTCTTCACTAATTTCGCGGGTCACTTAATGTTTTTAAATAAGGGTGTCGCTACTTGAGAAAATTTGGGAATCTCTGAGCTAGAGCAACATAATTTTTAAAAATTTCTTCAGCTTATTTTTGTAATGTTTTTCCGTTATGAATTTGCTATCGAAATCGATTGATAGTTATACATTGTGTGATGAATCAATTAAATTTATGTGCTACTATTATTTAGAAACATTATTTTATTATAATAAGTAAATTAAACGGAATGTGGTTTGCTTTGCGTATTACGATGGTATAGACTTTTTTGAAAAAAAAAAGAAAATAATAGACCAAATGAACATGTTCAGGCATAGAATAAATTAAATTAATTGGTTTTAAAATCTTTTCTTTCAAGATTCGTCAAATGTACTTTATTGATATTTGATATTATTTTTAGAACCAAATAAAATAGGAAATACATAAATTTCATGAAAGCTATATACACAAGAAAAAAAAAGCAATACAATGTATTATAAACCGGGAGTGATCTCCCCTAAACTTTCTCGAATATTCTTATATAAAATAACAGGGGATAGGAACTCGGGCTATAGACATGATTTTTACTCCATTTTAAATAGTCTACTTAAAGTTTTAAAAATAGAATAAAATCTCGTAGACAAATTAATTGCACACCAAGTGAACGCCAAATAAAAAAGAGCATAATAGTGCGCAATATTATTAGTACTTTAAAAATTATACATTTTTTTTGGGGGAAATTGAAAGTAGCGTAAATTACTAATTCCGGTCAACGGAAATTACTCAAAATTTAACAGAAGGTAGAGAATTAGATCTTTTACTTACATGTGAAATTTCATTTATCTATCTGAAATAGTACTCAAGTTATAGGCTTTTGAAAAATTCAAAGTAGGTAAGGTACCACTTCCGGTTATCGGAAATCGCTCAAAAGTTGATAAAATACTTATTTAGGAAATTTCATCAACCTAGCTGTAACGATACTCTAGTTATCGTGTTTACACACGGACACACACACACACACACACACACACATAGACAAACAGACATACGGACAAGATTGAAAAATTTTGTTTTTCCGTATCAGTGAGGTGTAAAACGTCGAGATTTGTAAAAATCTCGATTTTTTTTTGCACGATTACAAGACTTTCTCTATACTTCGTATATACAAGAAAGTAAAAATTATTGTAAATCTCGTCGTATTTACAATACAGTTTGACGTTTCTGGTAACATATTACCTTAGCGCTTCAAAACTAAAGTGAGTATCATAGACTTGACATTGATTTATATTATAGGCAAGTTATAATAGACATTGTATACATTGTAAATAAAAAGTGTTTCTCTAGATAAATATGCCTACTGAATTTTACGCTCTACATAGACTGCGGAATAAATCCGTACCAAGGACTGAGGCAAACACGTTAAGAAAAATAATTAATCAACCCGGAAGTCCCGGTGAGTTTTAGTAAAAGAGTAAATACACACACACACACAAACACACACACACACACTCATATATATATATATATATATATATATATATATATATATATATATATATAAAGAGAGAGAGAGAGGAGAGAAAGAGAGAGAGAGAGAGAGAGAGAGAGAGAGAGAGAGAGAGAGAGAGAGAGAGAGAGAGAGAGAGACAATGAATTAAAAGAATGAAAATAAATCCAGAAAAACGAAAATTAAATAATTCATGGCGTGAGTTTGGTACAAAGTTAGACGCTGAAGGTCTTCCCCTGCCATAATTATTTATTCGGAACCCTTAATGGGCCACACCTCTCGGATGTACTCAGGTTTAAGCGATTTCTCCAAGCAGGGACCACGATATTCCGGTTGGTCTTTCACTAACAACTAATCTTTGTAAGTCAACCGAATCAAAATGACTGACTACAAATTTTCACAAATACTAGATTCATCATCTTTTTGTGAACTAATTGTTCAAAACTGAAAAGTAGCAAACCTGTTATTCTATTGTGCATAAACGTAGTTTATTTAGATTGATCGTAGTATTTTAACTCGAAGTTGATTTCCATTCTTGTTGATAATAATTTATGCACAGAGGGCTAGAGCAACGGCCAGGACTAGGGTAAGGGTAAGGGTAAGGGTAAGGGTAAGGGTAAGGGTAAGGGTAAGGGTAAGGGTAAGGGTAAGGGTAAGGGTAAGGGTAAGGGTAAGGGTAAGGGTAAGGGTAAGGGTAAGGGTAAGGGTAAGGGTAAGGGTAAGGGTAAGGGTAAGGGTAAGGGTAAGGGTAAGGGTAAGGGTAAGGGTAAGGGTAAGGGTAAGGGTAAGGGTAAGGGTAAGGGTAAGGGTAAGGGTAAGGGTAAGGGTAAGGGTAAGGGTAAGGGTAAGGGTAAGGGTAAGGGTAAGGCTTAGGGTTATGGTTGTGGTTAGGGTTAGGGTTGGGGTTGGGGTTGAGGTTAGGGTTAGGGTTGGGGTTGGGGTTGGGGTTTGGGTTTGGGTTTGGGTTTGGGTTGGGGTTAGGGTTAGGGTTTCGGTTGGGGTTAGGGTTGGGGTTGAGGTTGGGGTTGGGGTTTGGGTTTGGGTTAGGGTTAGGGTTAGGGTTAGGGTTAGGGTTAGGGTTAGGGTTAGGGTTAGGGTTAGGGTTAGGGTTAGGATTAGGATTAGGATGAGGATTAAGATCAGGATCAGGATCAGGATCAGGATCAGGATCAGGATCAGGATCAGGATCAGGATCACGATCAGGATCAGGATCAGGATCAGGATCAGGATCAGGATCAGGATCAGGATCAGGATCAGGATCAGGATCAGGATCAGGATCAGGATCAGGATCAGGATCAGGATCAGGATCAGGATCAGGATCAGGATCAGGATCAGGATCAGGATCAGGATCAGGATCAGGATCAGGATCAGGATCAGGATCAGGATCAGGATCAGGATCAGGATCAGGATCAGGATCAGGATCAGGACCAGGACCAGGATCAGGATCAGGATCAGGATCAGGATCAGGATCAGGATCAGGATCAGGATCAGGATCAGGATCAGGATCAGGATCAGGATCAGGATCAGGATCAGGATCAGGATCAGGATTAGGATCAGGATTAGGATTAGGATTAGGATTAGGATTAGGATTAGGATTAGGATTAGGATTAGGATTAGGATTAGGATTAGGATTAGGATTAGGATTAGGATTAGGATTAGGATTAGGATTAGGATTAGGATTAGGAATAATATTTAGATTTAGATTTGGATTTGGATTTGAATTAGGATTAGGATTTGGATTTCGATTTGGATTTGGATTTGGATTTGGATTTGGATTTGGATTTGGATTTGGATTCGGATTCGGATTCGGATTCGGATTAGGATTAGGATTGGGATTGGGATTAGGATTAGGATTAGGATTAGGATATGGATTAGGATTAGGAGTAGGAGCAGGATTAGGTATAGGATTAGGATTAGGATTAGGATTAGGATTACGATTAGCATTAGGATTAGGGTTAGGGTTAGGGTTAGGGTTAGGGTTAGGGTTAGGGTTAGGGTTAGGGTTAGGGTTGGGGTTAGGGTTAGGGTTAGGGTTAGGGTCACGGTTAGGCTTAAACCAATGTCTAGAGTTGGTTTTTGGTTTTGTGTTGAGGTGAATTCTTAGGTTCTGGTCTTTTTCTTAAAGTTAGGATTCAGGTTATATATGTATATAAATAAGGTAATATATAGGTATAGAATTTGAGTTAGAGTTAGGATTCTAACTTGAGGGTGGACAATTTCCAGGGGGTGTGTGATTGACGGGGTAATTGACAAGGGGCTAATTTCTACTGTGGGGGGGGGGGGGGGGGCAAATACGGAGAGGGGGGATGTTCGGTATGTAATTGACAGGCGGGTAATGTCATGTAGTCGGCAGTAGGCCTTTTCAATGCCAGAGGTTATAAACATAATTGTCACTGACATGAAACAGCTCTGTCATTATTTGATCCAATTGTATGATTACTAAATAAAATATTCTATTTAGTAACTGATTTAAAATTATACAATGAAATTAAAAATTTGTAAAAAAAAATATCAAAACCTTTACTTTTTTTAAAAGTATCTTTGGTCTCAACCGCTAAATTTTCTCTACATACTTTCTAAAAATATTTTTACACTAAAAAAACCCAGAAGAAACCACCCTAAGATATATATATATATATATATATATATATATATATATATATATATATATATATATGTATATATATATATATATATATATATATATATATATATATATATATATATATATATATATATATATATATATATATATATATATATATATATATATATATATATATATATATATATATATATATATATATATTAGCTGCATATCTGTGCTTAGTCACGGTGAGAAACTCCGCAATATATTTTTTTTTTGATAATAGAAGGTAATCGCACGACACATAAAAGAACTCAAAATTAGGTATTAAAAGCATTAAGGGAAAATTAAAATTAAAACGCACAAAAACCCATAGGAGAACATCCATCCCACCTCCCCCTTACCAACACAACACAACCCACTACAGCACATAGCGTAATCCATTAACACCACGATCGACAACCACCAGTCACTCATCCCGCACATAAAAAAGACAACATACTGGGTAGATGGAAACCCTCACCACATCACAAGGTATGATATACGACACCCCGAACCGACTGCAAACAACCCGCAGTCTACACGTTAGGATAATCGTCCTTCATGAGCTACTGATAGTGTTTTAAAGCAAAATATTTTCAGTCGCAGCACTGTTAGTGTTGAATTCGCAAATTATGAATTATTAAAATTTAGCAAATAAAACAACTAAATAGCGGCGCATGCTTACGGCACGGGTCAGCTCGTATGTGTCATTGGTATACCGTCATGTATACCCTAACTCCGAGAATCGTCTCTTTAAATGTAGCCTGGCATAGTTCAGTGATGAAAACAAAACGAAAAGTGTAATTGAAAGTAAAAAAAAATAATGTTCTTTATTTACACTCGACGTCTCCCTACACACTCCCATGACCAACTCTATTATTATTTACATTTTAACTTGTACATGCTCCCTCTAGCGCTACCTATCTCTAACTGCCCACAAATCCATGATCAGCTGACCGTTGCACGTGACCGGTCATCTGCTACAATTCTATTGGTTCTCCTTGACTGACCTATGTCTACCTCATCTACCTGACTAACGCTATTCTGAACTCTAACCTATTAATAACTAGCGTCACCACACCACCAAATAACCTGAACTGACCTGTACCACAACATATCACACCGCACCCCGCAAAAAAACAACAAAAAAAAACCCAAAAAAAGCAACAACAAAAAAATACTCCACTGTACATAGACATTATAACTCATAGTCCACGAGCCACACACGGAGTAGACCAAACCCCACACCAATACGCTCAACACCCTAAAGTTGTCCTTTCTATCTATAGGTGCATTAACAGCTAGATGCAATCTGTAATTAACGCCGTATTTAATGCATTAAGGTTTACCTTTACCCCGATATCAAAGTAATATAGCCTCTTAGATCACTGTATAATCCAAACGACTGCATTAATGACGTGTTTTATATTGATATTCCAACGAAAAACTATGATCGTTGGACTAATCATACAATTTTCTTATACAATTCACAGGAAAACAAAATATAGCATCATATTTTTAAAAATATATCCCTTGCCAAAAATATTTTTTTAGTTGATTAGTTTTAATTATACACTTATAAAAAGTGATTCTAAGAGATCATAGAAATAAAAAAAACAATAATAAAACCTTATACCGAGTAATCATAAATAATCCTAACCTTAATCTATTTTAATTATGAGCCTTAACATAATATACAATGCGGTAGGAATAGAAATAAACCGGTAGTGATCTCCCCTAAACTTTCTCGAATATTCTTATATAAAACAACAGGGGATGGTAACTGGGGATATAGTTATGATTTTTAATCCATTTTAAATACTTAAACTTTTAAAAATAGAATAGAATCTCATAAAAAAAACATTGCGCACCAAGCAAACGCCGAATAAAAACGCGTATAATAGTGCACAATATTATTAGTACTTTAAAAATTTACATTAGTTTTTTGAGAAATCGGAAGTAGCGTAAATTACTACTTCCAGTCAACGGAAATTACTCAAAATTTAACAGAAGGTAGAGAATTAGATCTTTTACTTACATGTGAAATTTCATTTATCTATCTGAAATAGTACTCAAGTTATAGGCTTTTGAAAAATTCAAAGTAGGAAAAGTGCCACTTCCGGTTGTCGGAAATCGCTCAAAAGTTGATACGGATCTACGATTTTGATATAATACTTATATATGAAATTTCATCAACCTAGCTGTAACGGTACTCAAGTTATCGTGTTTACACACGGACACACAGACACACACACAGACACACACACACACAGACATACGGACAAGATTGCAAAATTATGTTTTTCCGCATCAGTGAGGTGTAAAACGTCGAGAACTGTAAAAATCTCGATTTTTTTTTTGCACGATTACAATACTTTCTCTATACTTCGTATATACGAGAAAGTAAAAAATGAGGGTAGGTAATCATAAATACAGACTTAAACAGCTATATTTAGAGTGAGTTGAATTTCTTTTTTAAATTTATCTCCCTTAGCATAAAAAATTAAATTAATTAGTTTTATTCGCTATTCTGCTATTACAATGTAGCCAATTATTTCTTTTTTTTCTACGAATTTAAGCCAAATATCATTTGACATTTATCAATTTAATACGTTTTAACAATGTGCACTTATATAATATTTTATCATAAATACATCGCAAGCGTATTGGCTAATTCTGTATAGTTGTTCTTCATCAATGCATTTATAAATTCTAGAAACGCTCGTTTAGGCCCGGCAAAAAGTATTTTATCCAACAGAGCTCGGCTTCTCTCGCGACGTGATTTAATTCCTTCAATATACAATTTATCATCATGATCTATAATATTTTTTGAAAAAAGATAATCAGTTAAATTCTGTCCATCAATTTCATCTACAATATCCTCGTATTTCATCCGAAGTAAAGTGAAATGTTGATCTTGGAGTTTTAAACCACGAATTGGTTTTTTTTGGTCTGCAAAAAAGTATTATATTTTATTATAAAATGTGGGATGCGTTAGTGAATGTCATTGATGTTTCTGTAGTTTAAAAATGTGTTTGCCTATAAAAATGAATTCTCACAATCACACCGAAACACACTACGTTACAACGTTATTATTTTTTTCCCATTGTCCCTTATTATTAAAATATGACTATTTAAAAAACATAAAATAGAATAATTACAACTTGTACTTTCTTGAAAATTTGAAAGTAATGATCCTTGTTTGATATTGAATACATTTGTACATAAATCTTCAGTATCATTAAGGTCTGCAAAGTGAAATGTTACAAATTAAATTCACGATAGACTGTAAGATGTAATAGTGCTGGAGGCTTAACAATTATTTAGTTTAGCAAATTCGTTTATCTATTAAACATACTACTCACGAATAACACAATACTCATTACATTACAATTCAAATTTATTTTATTCCTATTGTATTAACCTAAAAATATGAAAAACTCGCACAACATCGAGAAAATGAATTACTACCGTTACTTTCTTGAGAATTTGACAATGGCGATCCTGGATTGATGCTAAACATATTTGTGTTGAAGTCGTAAGTATTGTTAAGATCTGCAAAGCGAAAGATTATGAATTAAATTTACGATAGATAGTAAGATATATTAATGCTGGAGATTTAATATTTCGTTTTATTTTAGTAAATTTGTTAATTTTAAACTTACTAATCATAAACACTTTTTTACTACTACCTTCACTTTCTTGAGAATTTGATAGCAGTGATCCAGGGTTAATATTTAATATTTTTGTGTGTGAGTCACCAGCATTTTCTTGAACATCATTAGTTTCCTATATTGGACAAAGGTATAGATAACCAGCTGGATCACAAAAACACCATAACGCATACATAAATCCATTCATGCAAGTGCAAATAAAAATGCTCGTGCTCAAAGACAGACGTAGACTTTTAAACTTTTACATAGACCTATACGCAAATTATGTAGATACCTGGCTAATAATACTTTCTGTTTTTGTATAATTAATTCTTTTTTGTTCAATATTTCTTGTACACTCCGGGCAATTATCAATATCAAAACCACAGGTACTGCAGCAGCAAAGATGCCCGCACGGCAAAAATGTCGTATCAGCCTCTTCTTCACAGCAAATTTTACATTTTAGATTGAGAATTTCCCCAGGCGTTGATACCAGGCGAAAGTCTAAATTGTGTGAGGGTATTTCCCTTATGGCGCTGGTCAACGTTTCAAAATTCTCAAACTGTTTGCAAGTCTCTTCAAGCCTTTTCTTCTGTGCCTGCTTGTCAAAGTTTATTGAAGAATAAAGATCTGAAACTTGCCTATCAATGACGTCTTTCGCACTAGGATGCACGGTAAACGGGTTTCGATTTGCCTAGAAATTTCAAGAACTGCTTAATTATTAATTTTAAAATAAATAACATGCAGAATCACACACACACACGCACATACACATACACGCACACACACACACAAACACACACACACACACAAAAGAAGACATCGTACATAAAACCAGAAACTTAAAATGCTTCTTTTTATCCTTTTTAAATACTTTATCTTTGGAAAATATTCTTCAGGGTAAACTGCGCAATACTAATTAATATCCCAATACGCCAAGCTTATTTCTATAACACTAATGGCCAAAGGAAGGAAATCTTATATTTCCTAACTGTAGCGTCCAGATATTAAAACACTGGGCAACTTATCTAGGAGAAAAAGCTCCGAAATCAAAGTGTAATATAGCCTCTTAAGCGACAGGAATACCCTTTCTGGTTTCGATCGGCAACCTCAGCAAACAAATGGGGCACCAAAGGTTTTGCTTTGCTTTCCTTTGGACTATAGCGACAATGTCAAGAGGGGGATCGACATGCATTGGTGATACATGCTTTCCTTATTTAATGCCTATGGGTGCATCCATCGTCTTTCGATGAACAAAAGTTATATATTCATCTGGTGAATAAAATATACTTACAGAGCTTTTAAAATTTGTGTCAACTCCTATATTTGGAAGCATTACATTACTCTGTTTCCAGTGTTTAAAATATGGAAATATTACTCTTCAAAGAAAACATAGCATTCAATCAGATATAAGACGTCAATTAAAATGTTTACTACTTTCTAATACATTATTATGTTTCGGCTATATATATAACGCTGTGGAAACTTTTTATTTTGGCAAAATAAAAGTTAAACAGAAAGTAACCCCATATAACACAGAATAACCGCATGTATATCGGAATATTGAATGTGTCAGAAATCTGATCTGGTACGGATTACCCAGGGTGCCTACATTTGTTTTAAAGAACTTCCTTCACGGTGGGCTACTATAATTTATGACTTGATCGAATCAAGGGCGTTCTCCGGTGCCCCAATGGTAATGTATGGTAGATCTTACGACAACATCCGTGGTTATTTTAGCACCCGCGGCCAGCTCAATGAATGCGCATCAGTCAAATTATACAATATACGTTCTCCGGCGTACTCATGGAAGTGTCCGGTTGGGCGTCACAAGTAGGCTACCCTAGTAGCTATTTTACAACTTCAGGTTCGTTTATTGAGCGTCACACACAAGAGGTACACCTTGAATGATTTGCTACTCTGCACCATGGGCGTCCTCTGGTGCTCCTGCTTTTGCATGACTTAGAGACGCCTACATTCGTATTATACGAGAGATTCGGCGGGGTACCAAAATCAATGAATTAATCGATCCTGGGTTAGCAGCCGGTGCCCAAGCTGTAATGTAACCTTTTCTTCACAGGGGAGCCCACGACACCCCTGGCACATTAGCTGTTTCCGAGGGATGTTCTACCTCACGATTTTTGAGGCTGATCAAGGTACACTCAAAATTTCTATTCATGCGGCACGCCATGGAGCGTCTGGTTCATAGTACGGGCATAACAGCATCCCAATAATTAATATACAAGAAATATAGATCCGACATTGTTTACATTTGAATAACCCAATACTAGAAAATAACACTAACGCCTACAAATGCTCGATTGGAAACGCGATAAGATAGCGAGGGGGGGGGATAGGGGGGGGGGGGGCAGGGGGAACATATGTCCCCGGGCGCCGACCTTAGGGGTCGCCAAAATTGGTTGGAAAAATAAATTGAAAGCTTGAGGGGTGGGGGGTGTAAATCAAAATCTTGAGTGGGGGGGAGGGGGGGCAAATCGAAAATTTGAGGGGGGTGGGAGTGAAAATCGAAATCTTGAAGGGGGGTGCAAATCGAAAGTTTGTCCCCGGGCGCCGAGAAGGGTCGCAACGCCAATGCGCGATACCGAAATTCCCATACATTTTTGTAAGTTTTGTTTTATAGGACACCTTTTGTATAGTCTATGATTCTCTTATGAACAAATGTGTGTGGCAAGCTTACATCTCCGAAAACACGTGATTTTTTTCGTACACTTCCCGTGAAAAAAAACAAAACTGTACAATAAATGAATTAAAACGACGCTTTTAAATGTTAAAGGCCCAGCCTACATATAAAAATGAACAGAAATATTTTTCTAAATAAATAGACACAATGTAAATTTGGTGTTAACAAGACGCGTATTCTTTCCTCCTAGGTAGCAGCAATAATATATTATTGTTTTTGAATGGCCGTTCTATTACAATTTAAAAAATCTACTTTGTGCTAGAAAACTATAATAAAGCATTTCCTTAATTAAATATGTATACGTAACCCACATAGAAAAATATTTTTTCACATTGTGTACTTTTTGCATTTACTGTAATGCCTTTCATTCTTCCAGACGTGATGCTTACTGTTTTCTACGACAATTTCCTATTATCCAAAATTATGGAACGCTACTTACCGAAACTGTAGGCCTGTTAAGTAGTTCGACACAATCCCTATGACTGTGTTTTAAAGCTATGGCTAAGGCATTGTCTCCTTCTGTATTTACAACTTGAAGATCACACTTGTTTTTAATTAGTAATTCAAGTATTTTCCTATTTCCAACTTTCGATGCGTACATTAAAGCATTCCATCCATATTTATCAATTGCCCTAATGTTGATACGTCCATTGATTAAAAGTTCTACACTTTGTTCGTCTCCATTATTCGCAGCAATCATCAACGCATTCATTTGATCACAATTAACAACATTGATATCAATTCCACTATTGATTAAACATTCCACAATATGTTTGTGCCTTCCTCTTGCAGCGAGCAACAACCCATTTGTTCCGTCTGTATCAACCGCATTAATATCTACTCCCTTATTTATTACATCTCTTAGAACAGCTAAATACCCCCTTTTACAGGCGAGCAAAAGTGTAGCCCTCCCATTAATATTTATATCATTTTTATCTAGATCATGTGCGTTAATTATCTTGTTTACAACTTCTATATTTTCATAATCTAATGCATACTTTAACGCATTTTTCCATTTATTGTCCCTAGCTTTTACGTCGATTCCATAATCTATTAAAATAAGAGCAATTTCTGTTGTCCCGTGTTCAATGGCATACATCAACGCGTTTTTTCCATTGTAATCAACAGCATTAACATCAACCCCTCTTTTAATTAATCTTTCTGCCTGTTCTCGTTTTTTACTTATAATGGCTATCATTAATTGTGTTTCACCTTTTCTATATTTATCAATAGTGTTGGCCATTTTAATGTCAATTTTTACGTAAAGTGATGTTTATTTATAATATTAACCTTATATATTCCAGTGCCAGTTTAAATTATTATAATAAACACTTCTTTATTGTTTAAGTTTACACTTTACATATATCTTCAAGGTTTAAATGGTCCATACATTATTTATTCATTGCATGCAGATTTTTTCAATGCCTGTTTGTTGTTACTTAAAATTTATGATATAGTAAATTATAAATACACGTTTTTCCATTACTTGTATATCGATCTGGAATTTTAAAAAAAAAATAAGACATAATAAACTTAACTAAATAGATAAATATAAATCACCTCACAATCTCTGAAACATGCTTCAATAATTGTAGTACATAGAATGAAAATCAGAGTAATAAATACCAATGTAATCATTCATACATATACATACTTCATAAAAGACGACTTGGAGTCTAAAAAATATAAAAAAAAGTCTTACCTCCTTTTAGACACTTTTCAAAATAATTTCAAGACAATACAAAGAGGCAAAAGGGTCCTAGGACCTTTGACCACAGGTGCTTTGACCATAGGGGGTTAGACCATATGGGGTTTGACCACAGCGGAGCTTTGACCATTGGGGCTTTGACCATAGGGGGTTTGACCACAGCGGAGCTTTGACCATAGCGGTGCTTTGACCATAGGTGATTTGATCATAGGGGGTTTGACCATAGGGGGTTTGACCACAGGTGTTTTCTCAACAGAGGGTCTTTGATCACAGGTGGTCTATCAACTGGTGTTTGATCACAAGCGCTGTGGCCGGCTTTGATCATAAGTGTTTTGTCTACATAGGGTCTTTGATCTCAGGTGGTTTGTCCAATGCTGTCCATATATGGTAAGGATTTATTTTAATTAAAAGTTGCAAAATTATATTTTAAATTTCGACATGATGTAATAATATGGTCAAACAGATGTACTGTCATATTTGCGTGCTATAGCACATCTGTCATTTAGTTAACCATTTTATGTATTACATCTTTGACTATATTGTTGGCAAGTTTTGTATCATTTTTTATCCTTTATATATGCTATGTATTTTCAAGTGCTTCTACATTATTTATTTGTAAAACTTGATATATGTCGCATTATTTGTGTTTCATTTATATTTAAAATAAATCTATGAGGCCTAGCACCAGCCTTTATGTGGAGACTAAAATATAGTTCTTGGCTTTATTTAAATACATGTTAATTTCTATTAACGTATCCGCAGGAAACATGTATAAAATCGTGTTAATTGTATCACACCTATGATCAAAGCCGGACACAGCGCTTGTAATCAAACACCAGTTGATCACCTGTGATCAAAGACCCTCTGTTGAGAAAACACATGTGGTCAAACCCCCTATGGTCAAACCCCCTATGATCAAACCCCATATGATCAAAGCACCGCTATGGTCAAAGGCCCGCTGTGGTCAAACCCCCTATGGTCAAAGCCCCAATGGTCAAAGCTCCGCTGTGGTCAAACCCCCTATGGTAAAACCCCCTATGGTCAAAACACCTGTGGTCAAAGGTCCGCGCACCGGCAAAAGCTCCTAATAATATCACTCCTGACTGACCCATAGTGGTTGTACAACAAAAAAAATCATAAAAAATGTTTTAATAACAAGCTTTTATATAATAATGCACTAAAAAGTAGAAAATAAATTATAGACTACTATTTAAATAACTATAAAGAAAAGCGTGAGTCACTTTAGTATCTATTGGATACCGTAACTAATATTAAGGAAGACACCCACGCTTTTCTTTATAGTTATTTAAATAGTAGTCTATAATTTATTTGTGAATTAATATGAATTATTTTCAGTACTTTACATGTTTTATTTACAATAGAGTTACATGACTAAAAACCATTGCGCGCCTACTGAACGTGATGGCGCAGCCATTGAACGTGATGGCGCAGCTATTGAACGTGATGGAGCGTGTGGTGTATTGGATAATCAGGCCTACTAATTCGGTACCAAATTTTAATTTATTCATAAAAAATTAATTAGACATCCAATTAAGTCAAATTTAATTTCAGATTGCATTGTCTTCATGTCTTTACCCACGTGTCAAATGTGAATCGTATCGGTCAAGTAGACATGACCGAATTTTCACGCCTGCGTTTCGATCTAGACTGACGACATACAGACTGTCGACTGACGAGGAAGTGAGTGAAATAAAAGCTTGTAAAAAGACAGAATCACTTGCACTAAATTACGTTCTTTAAAAAACAGAACAACTATTAAAATACAAATTTTATGTTTCTATTTATAGTGACAACCGAGAGCCGCCAAATATAAGATGCTAAAGTGTCATACACACACACACACATATATATATATATATATATATATATATATATATATATATATATATATATATATATATATATGTATATCTTCTTCTTCTTCTTCGTTCTTAATTATTAGTGTAGAAGGGGATCGAGATTTATCTGCCAGTGGGTTTAAACTCGAGACTTTGTTCGAATTTATCAACCATGAGCTTTTTGCCGACTCGACCACGCCTCCAACACAATTAAGCGTTACGTGTCAACTGGTTATGCGCCATTGAGGCCATTGACTCCGATTTCAGCCTGCTTTTCTTTTTGGATTTGCTTCCATAGCCTTTGTCCAACCAAGAACAAACTACAAGGCAGCAGTTGTTTAATTTTGGAGTTGTCTCTCCTAGAAGAGTGGCTGTCCCCAGCTAACGAGCCTCATCTGCCCGAGGGTTCGAACTCGAGACTTTTCGGTTTAGCAACCATGAGCTTTACCGACTCGACCACGCCGACCCCTATATGTATATATATATGTATATATATATATGTATATATATATATATATATATATATATATATATATATATATGGGAACAGGACATTTCCCCCCTGTCAATTACCCCCCGGATATTTCCCCCCCGACATTACCCCCCAGAGTAATTACCCCCCCTGTCAATTACCCCCCTGTCAATTACCCCCCGCCCAGTAGGACATTACCCCCCCCCCCCCCCCCCCCCCGGACAGGGTTAGAGTTAGGGTTAGGGTTAGGGTTACGTTTTAGGGCTAGGGTTAGGGTTAGGGTTAGGGTTAATGTTAGGGTTAGGGTTAGAGTTAGAGTTAGGGTTAGGGTTAGGGTTAGGGTTAAGGTTAGGGTTAGGGTTAGGGTTAGGGTTAGGGTTAGGGTTAGGGCTAGGGCTAGGGTTAGGGTTAAGATTAGGGCTAGGGTTAGGGTTAGAGTTAGAGCTAGGGTTACGGTTAGGGTTAAAGCTAGTTTTAGGGTTAGGGTTGTGTCTAGCTTTGGTTTTGGTTTTGTGTGAAGGTTTAGGCTAAGGTGGATGCTTAGGTTTTGGTATTTTTCTTAAGGTTTGGATTAAAGTAGTATATAGGGACAGTGGCGTAGCGAGGTCGGGTGTCACCAGGGGCGGCACTTAATAGTGTCACCCCCCCCCCCCAGAGACATAGAGACCCTTCCAAGGGACAAACTTTCAAACTTTCGATTTGAACCCCCCCCCTCAAGTTTTCGATTTGCACCCCCCCCCCTCAAACTTACGATTTGCACCCCCCTCGAGTTTTTCTCTATATATTTTGCTATTTTTTGCCTTGGTGTCACCCCCCTTAATGGTGTCACCCGGTGCGGTCCGCTGCCCCCGCCCCCCCCCCCTCGCTACGCCCCTGTATAGGGATAAAATCCTAGTTAGAGTTAGGATTTTAACTTGAGAGGAGGGGGGTAATTCCCCGGGGGGGTAATTGACAGGGGGGTAATTGACAGGGGGGTAATTGCACCGGGGGGTAAATACGGGGGGGAAATGTCCGGGGGGGAAATATCCAGGGGGGTAATGTCCTGTAGCCATATATATATATATATATATAAAGCAAAGTGGTCAAGTGCCCGATAGGGCAGTTCCCGGCGCCGTAGGCGCGTCAAATTTGGCACGATGGTGCCTCGGGGCGATAGAACACGAGGGACGGTGACGGTTGGCCGAAAATTCTACGGGGAGGGGGTCAAAACTGACCTCGACTGACCGGCACCTTATATGGGCTATATTACGAAAAAAATTTCTTCCGACGACCCCCCTTGATATTTTGTGAGGTGATAGGACAACGCCTTGGGGTGTCACAAAAAACTCGGCATATCTGGGAATACTTCGTAAAGGGGTCAAAACTGACCAGTTGTATTTCCCTATATAATCTTTGTATTTTATGGCAAAAACAGAGGGTCATTTCAACGCAGACTTTAGGGTACTTAAACTCAGTATATCTGGCTAATGTTTTGCATACTCTTAGCTCAATGGCTTGACCTTTAGGGAAAACTGTCGGTTTGACTTAAAGCCCTCGACGAGGGCTAAAAAGTGACCGCGAGTGAAATTCTCTTTATATGAGCACTATTACGAAAAACAAATTCCTCCGACGACCCCCCTTGATATTTTGTGAGGTGGTAGGAGAACACCTTAGGGTGTCACAAAAAACTCGGCATATCAGGGAAAACTTCGTAAAGGGGTCAAAACTGACCAGTTGTATTTCCCTATATAATCTTTGTATTTTGCCGTGACCCTTTCATTGGTGACAGTTAACTACGTTTTTATCAATTGCATTGCTTTTGTAACTTTACATTGGTCCATGGTTTCCAAACTTTTTCGAGTGGCGACCCACTTTTACAAAAAGTAAGTGACCCGCGATCCCCATAGAATAAAACAGTCGACGTCCAAAAGGCCGAAAAGAAAAAAGGTCGACATGGACAAAAGGCTGACATAGACGAAAAGTGTGGAATAGTTGGATAAGGCAGCCTACTGGTTTGGACTAAATTTTAATTAGTTTATAAAAAATTAAATAGTTATCCAACTAGGTCTAATTTAATGTCAGATTGCATTATCTTCAATTGTTGACCCACGTGCCAACTTTGAATCGAATCTGTCAGTTAAACATGCCCGATATTTCGCTCGAGCGTTTCTATCTATGATGACAGATAGACAGACTGTCGACAGACTGACAACAGACAGAGGAAGCAAGATAAATAAAAGCTTGTAAAAATAGAAAATTATAGTGAAATACATCAACTTACCT